GGTCAAGGGCAACGTAGCAGAGTTTCTCCTTGATATCACGCACAATTTCACGATCTGCGGTTTCGGTGAAGGTGTAGCCACGCTCAGTGAGGATCTTCATTAGGTAGTCAGTGAGATCACGACCGGCCAGGTCGAGACGCTGAATGGCGTCAGGCAGAGAGTAACCCTCGGAGATGGGGACGATGTAAGTGACACCATCCCCGGAGTCGAGGACGATACCGGTGGTACGACCAGAGGCGTAGAGTGACATATCTGTCTGGACGGCAACGTAAACCGCCGGGGTGTTGAAGGTCTCGAACATGATCTGGGTCATCTTCTCGCGGTTGGCCTTGGGGTTCAGTGGAGCCTCAGTTAGGAGGACTGGATGCTGTTCCGGAGAAACACGAAGCTCGTTGTAGAATGTGTGGTGCCAGATCTTCTCCATGTCGTCCCAGTTCGTGATGATGCCGCGCTCAATCGGGTACGACAGGGTGAGAATATCACGCTTTGACTGGGCCTCGTCGCCCACATAGCTGTCCTTCTGTCCCATACCATCCACGACACCCTTGAAGAAACAGTTAATAGACGCCAATTACACTGCAGCCAAATACTCCCTCGGAAGCGCACAAAAAAGACGCAGCGTAAGAAGGAGATAGCAATCACTGTCTCACCAGGTCTCTATTGTGTCTGCCACCTTTTCGTCTTACGGCTGCGCCCTGGCGAATACCACTTGCCAAGGAATGCTCACATGCACGCAAACAGATAAAGATCAGTCTATACTGCCTCCTGAGTCGCTAGCGCCAACTCGGTTTTCTTGATGCATCTAACTATGTGTAGGGACTCAAGATGTGGAAAATGATGCACTTAAAACTAATTTATCTGCCATTGGCTAAATGACCGACCAGATATATTCGAGGCAACTAGTGGTAGTTGTGAAACGTCTTGATCATCTCGACGTTTCAGAAAAACGAGTGTCCTAACCAGGTGGAATGATGGAAAACTGGCATTAATGCCGTCTGCCTGAACCTGAATGGTGGCATTATGGACCGCAAGCAAAGTGAGTAACCCATTAGGAAGCCTGCAAAAGCGTTAATAGGTAATCAAACCAGTATGATGTAGTCGGCAAGTGATAGATCTTATTACGTACAGAAGATGCGACTCAAAGATTCAGGTGAAAGCAAAGAAAGCAGAAAATGGGGGGTGGGGTGGACACGAACCTGATGACGCGGACGACCAACGATGGAGGGGAAGACAGCACGGGGGGCATCGTCTCCGGCGAAACCGGCTTTGCACATGCCGGAGCCGTTGTCCACAACAAGAGCCGAAACTTCCTCGTCTCCCATGGTTATCGGTGTGCGCTGCAGAAGTCTGCTACCCACGGTTACAACGCGCTACTTATAAAGGTTCCGTGTGTGACCATATTTGGCACGCACACACCCTGCAAGTCGCTGATTGGTCGGGAGTACGGGTTCGGCAGTGCAAAGCATTGCGCCAAAATCGCCAAATATGGCGATTGGGATGGTGGTTGTGGACGCGGATGTGTGTTCCTGTTTTGGCTTTCACTCAAGGTGATTAATCCATAACCTTCTAACCTTCCAGTATGTCTACCGGATTACAATCTACCAATCACGTTGTAGGGTATTACTGTATTAAACAGGCGATTAGTTATTGACTGCCTACGCTAATTCGTTGCTTGATCAACCGAGGTCAAAACAACAAGTTATTTCTGACCACCGTAGCACCACACTGGCGTTAATCGGATTTTCGTAAAATGCAGGTCACGATACGAAATCCGTAGCACATATCAACGGGTCAGAAAGACGATTAATAATCCGAGCTGCGAAAGCCGCGATTACTAGATGACTCTGTGGAGCTTGGAAGCTCATGCAAGGTGGAATTGACTGAAATTCACATCTCGTTACCGTCACTTCAAGGTCATATACGGGTGCCATGACAATTCATCCCATTTCGTGAATTGAGGTAGCCAACTTGGTTGTGTACGGTGACCTCTTGAATGAGTTCTATAGGCTTGATCCGCCAAGATCAATAAATTGATTAAACGATGTCCGTGGTTGTCGTAACCAATGGCTGGGTGTCCATCAATGTTGAAAAAGGAGATGTTGATTTGATCAAATGACAATAACATATTACAGGTAGAAGGTCCATTACGAATGTCATTTGTGCAAATTTTGAACCATCCAAACTGAAGAACTTTGCACAATAATTGTTATAGCAATGGCGCGTCCACCTATCGCACGAAAGATTGACATTCCATTCCTAACCAGAGAGATTTGATAGTTCGATTTTCGATGCTTGTTAACTGAACTGTTTAGCTTGCACAGAAATGGCAATTGTTCCTTCCAAGTACAACACAATGTTTGATTGGCTAGCGACATGAAGACGCAAGAATTAACCCAGCTTTCCAATGAGGTGAAATGTCGTGGTAATTGCCGGTAATGTCCCTCAACTCTTACAGTTCCTGTAATTTTGACGAATAACAATTATTCTGTTTATGTACTTGGAAATCAAACGGGAGCATAGTGATCTGGAGCCGAAAATGAACGATTATTACAAAGTACGATTTAAATATTGCATCAACCAATGACGTCATTATATTTTCTGTTTAAACTAGCGAAATTTGTGCGAGTTAATGAGTAACTGTCGAGACGCTTGTGCCACTCATTGTCCGACTCAACGAGAATAATTCAGTGTCTGGAAATTGGTGTGCATTCCTGTGAATCGAGTCGTAACCACTTACCGATGTTACATGTTTCTCGCTGACCTCATGCAACTATTCTCGGAATTACATGACAACTGAACAAGTTACCTTTTCAGGTCATAATTAAAAGTTTTACCGATCGAGGGATCATCAAATTTCTAAGTAAGGAGAAGTCGGGTGATCCCACTTCAATTTGTGATTTGTGCTAGTTAATCTCCGGTTCGGACTATCCATTTTTCAGCATTAATGGTGACTTGATGATTAGTTTGTGTCTGGGACGTGTTTCGAAAATATCGATTAATTGGCTGATTGATTGATTTTGTGAACTGTTTTCATTTCACTTAATTCAAGGGCCCTGCAATCTCCAGCAGTGTTAGCTATGACTTAGTCCATAGTCAAGTCCAACGAATTTACTGGAAATTCGGTCAATTTTGAGAGAAGGCGTTCAACTAATCCGGACACGGACGTTCATCGGTATTGGTGACCTTTGCAGAAACAGGGTGAGGCTTGCATGTCATGTTAAACTTGACGCTAATTCTGCAGCTGCAGGAATTATTATGCGCAGTGGTGTACCCTTAAGAATATGTCCATGCGCTTGTTACCCGTAAAAACGCAGAATTAATGACTGAATTGGTGAAAATAATCCGTAAAAACGTAGTGGAATTCACATAAATGAAACCAAAATTGAGATTTTGACAATTTTAGACAAACATAACGTTGGACACGAACGGTCCAACCTCTTGTTCGAATTCACACATGATGTGGAACCCTGACGCTGTCGGTTTAAGAGGGCATTTCGAAGAAGCGCCATACATGGCTACCGACCGTCGCTGGCACGCAGACAGCATGGGCAATTGCGATTTACCAGACCTGCCTTGAAAGGCGTAGTTGCCAGGGGGAAGACACTGATGTCCAAAAGGCGTGCCGGTGCCTGTCAGATGGAAAATGCCAGCCGTCTACGGGCTTCAATGCTAACTAGATGCGAGTGTGTCAGCTGAAATTACTTGTGCTTGGAAGCCAAGAGGCACCAAAGTAATATCAAGGCTCTAAAAAGTGAATTGTTTTACTGGTGAGGAATGACCATTTAGCCAATTCCAGGAGCTTTTTGCGGTCTCCACGGTTGTCTGATCGTCTAGTCGAGGCTATTGATTTTATAATTACTCAGAAGTTCAGATCAGATGTAGATAGAAGTCCGAGCGACAAAGATATTGACTTCCATCTTGGAAATTTGAGTGGTGGTATTGCCAATCGCTGCCCTTGCATACTTTGCCTTCCCATGATTTTTGAGTACTGGTTGGGACGACGACACGAATAAGCCCTTTCCGGTTCCAACAAAATTCTGGGATACATTCCACAGCATCACGAGTCGTGATCACAGTGGGAATCAGGTCGATGACAAATAATCTGCCATAGGTGAGGCTGTCATGGCGACCACCTCAGATAACGATCTAGCGAGCTATGTAATTCCAGACTCGGCATGACACATCTACAAGTGTTCAATACTTCTGTGTGGGCTACTTCGTTGGTTAGTTTAATGGCATTCAAGGCTTCGAAAACCTGCCCAGGATCCAGGTGTACCCTCAGAAGAGCATTTCGAGGAGAGACGCAGTTTATTTTCAACGTGGTGATGACAGAAGACGATTCATGTCCATTAACTTGGTCGTCGCAGTCTCCGCCACACTGACCCCTCTTGCACGGCGTCCCAATCGATAATGCAAAGGCGTCTACTCGTAAACCCCCTGTGCGTGTACCACCCCCACACTACTCGTTCCATTCACCTGGCCGTCCAGCCGTTTGCACTTTTACCGGTTCGCCCCAGACTGCATTGATTAACGGTCGCTATTTTTCAGACAAGGTTTTTTTAGGCGCACTCACAACTGGGTTGAGACGTCTAGTAAACAGCTGTACCTCCACCACCTTCAGTCGCCTTGATCTTTTCGGGTACCGGAGTGGAGTTGGTATCACTGGGTTGGTGTGAGACCACGTGTAGGGGCCTACAACGATGAGTAACAGGATTCTGAGTTTGGGGTGTCAAATAATCATTCGCGGCTAGTGGACAACATTCAAGAACGTGATAACTAGCCAGATATCGGCTCAAGTTAAGTGTACCCAGAGAACTGGTTGCATTCGACTCTCGAGAACCATTCTGAATGTGCTGCGAGATTGCGGAATTGTCGAGTGCGTCGATGGAGCGATCAAAAACGTTGCTGGTGATTCCGAACACATCAGTGCAGTTACGACTGGATTCAAGAAAAACAAAGCTTCCAATGGCATTAATTAAGCCCGCGAATTGACACAGTCTGTTCAAATTCTGACTCAATTAGTCGACGCAGGCACAACGCAACCTGTTACCACTACTCGTTCTCCAGCGTTGTGAGTTCATGCACGAACACAACCAATCGTAGCGTTTCCGGGTAGTTTAAAACCTGGCATGGACGAACACATTCACCTACCTCTTTTTTTAAACTATTCGTCCGCCCAATCTCCTTCTTTAGCAGTTCCATCTTGTCATTTTCCTTTTTGAAATCGTCTGTACCCCACTCCCTCTCATTCCCTCTCTCCTCGACTAATGCATCGCTTTGTAAAAAGCCCCTTGTGTGTCCAGTTAGTGTGGTTTTTCGGTTTTTCGACTAAAGAGAACGCGAGGAGAAAGACGACAAGGCATGGGGTTGTGGTCTCGCGGTGTGAAAGAGCAAAACGAACAGACCTTTTAGCATCCCAGTTAGATAAACTATTAGGCATCACATTCCAGACAACGATTGGTCGGTTTGACAACCCTGTCAAGGTCACACAAAGAACCGGTTTTAAGGGATTGAAGAATGGTCTCTCCAGTTTCTAAATTAAGCGTCTTTCTCGAATAACAAAGAAATGAAAAACCGACTTACCAATAACGTTGTCTCGGCTACCGATCAATAAAACCTGTCTAGACTTGGGGTACCACCTAAAAAACAGTGCTTAGTGACTTCAAAAGCCTGCACAAGGCAGTGGACCTTGATAGATAAGGAACTAATCGTACAAATAAACAATCTGTATTGTCCAAGAATTTAGGCCACACGGAGTCGGGGAGTGACTAATCACACACCCACAGGCAGACAAGCAGAATTAACCATTTTTGGTTTGAAAGTCGTCGATAGTGCCGATTTGTTGAGAGGCACCTGAAAATAACCTAGGGGAACATTAGTTTAGTGTGAAAATGGGAATGAAATAAGTTTTGCACATTGTTGACTGCTGAAAGTGACTGGAAATCGATAATGATCTATTTTATCTACATAGCCCTCAAATTCTTTGTATAGGTACAAAATTTTACAGTAACCTTCATTAAAGCTGTATGTTACTATCCAAAATCAGGAGGTCCAAAACTGTTTTGGTGGCTTCGTGATGCCTTTCAGGTTGTTTTAATTTCATTTTCGAGTGCGCGCCTTTTCAAAATGTGCCAAAACGTCGATAAGGCGTGTGTGGAGGGGTGTTTGTACATTAGATTCAGATCCATGTTGATGCTGTTTTGCTTTCAGCCTCGAAACGTCTTTATCCACTGTAATGCGTTCTCGGAGACCACAATTTTACGAAAATACGAGACAATCAGAGGTGTTTGGCCACGAAAATTAAGAACTTTTCCCCACACCTTACTGAGGTCTTTTCAGTTGTGTAGTTGCTATTTTTGTACTGCAGCACGGTTGGCCTTTGTGGAACTGACCTGCCACCGTAATCAGCGAATATCGATCAATGTGGTCATTTGCCTTGCGGGGATGAGTGAGTCCTTACTTAAAATCAGCCTCTTTGGGAAATTCACTTGATTAAAAGGTGTGCGTTTAAATGAAGAAGACAGTCAGAACCATAATCCTGTTCAATTTAATGCCACACCTGCTGACATCGAGAATGCCATAGCAACACAAGCAAATTGTTGCCGAAGCGACATTTTCCACATGTGTCTACAATTTGCGCTACCAGAAGTATACCTTCAGGATATCGTGTGAATTGGGACAAGAATCACATGCTCAAGTCACACCGCATCAAGGGAATTGGGGGGAGGGTGCGGGTTCAGGGAGGTTGATGGGGTTTGACCAATTAGTGACGCACGCGACTCAATGCCCCACCGTCTTAAGACGCGCGCGCGGCTCGCACGTGCGCACACGGGCGTCTTGTGAGATGGGTTGTTGGTCCATATTATAACTGCGCATTTGCGCTGACGCGAACAAACAACCAATCTACGCCATGGGCGTTGGCAACGGATTCTCTACGGCCTCGATGTGTCCATTTGGCAACCTTAGTGGGTGTCGTGACCAGGCCTTGGTTGTCGTTGATATATCTTCAACAAACATTCCCTCTACATTTAATGTATGGTCTTTTTGGTGTGAAGGCTCTGATGCGGGAGATGATCTAGGTTAACGGGAGCCAACCGCAAACCAATAGCAAAAGAGTATCCTGATCGAGGTTCCCAGACAGGGTTATTCGCCTTATTTTGCTTTAGGAAACAGGAAAAAGAAACTTTTGGATCTGAAAAGGGGTCAGCAGCGAGAAATCACGACGCACCAGAGTCTCAACCGTCAGGCTGAAGTGGGTGATGGATTTAGGGGTGTTTAAGCGAAGACGGGCAGCACTGAGGTTCAGATGGGAGAACTATCTTCACCTCAGTACGAAGTGGACAACCTCAGCAACGCCCAGACAGACAGTCGCTAACGCCAGGTCAGATGCTGCCTTTACTAGTCTTGCACAATCGATCGACTGAATGCCACTGTTGCCTTAATGTCATTCAACAGGCGACCCCACTCTCAAAATCGAAGTGGTTGTTTAACTGCGCAGCTCAGATTGCGCGCAGATTAATGTTCTTTCGTAGTGGGATGTTCCCCTTATGTGCACCTCCACCTCAAGTCTTACCTGCACGCGAATCCGACTTTAATTGAGATAGCATCGCGAATTCGCTACCAAGCCTGGCTGTCAAGTCTGATTACGCATTTCTCCGCCGGTCTGAGGCAAGTCTAACTCACACTTCTGCAGACATGGTAAACAGAACATCTAGCTGTCCGGTGAGTAGTTGTATTTAATTTCGAGGTATGTCTGTCGCAACTGTCCATCCAACTTCAGCATGATCGCCAATCACAGGTCGTGAGAAGCACTCACAGGTCTTGTGACCACCTCTCATGGCAGGACAACGGTAGCCAATAGGATTATGCTAGTTTATAATTCTTCGCACAAATAGTTGACAGATTTTGCTATTTCTAGCCTGCCAACAGGTGCGAATAACAATCCCAACTCAAACGGGATGACGCGAATGGCCAAAACAGGGTGTCTATTCGTGGTGTCTTGGTCATTGGCTTGTTTGTCAACGTTAATTTTTCCCAATTGAGCCAAAGAAACCGATTCCTGCTGTCAATTTCGGAGGATGGATTTTAGTGGTCAAGGTAACTATACTTTTGAAGTTTCATCGACTTTGACATTTCCATTCTTCTAATTCCACAAGTAGTGGGACTCGAACTTGCACTTCACATCCACCGTCTGAAAGCTGAAATCGCCCACATCGCTTGAACGGTAGATCGCCGTTGCTGGTCTCAAGTGGCATGTTCGTTTGATGATCCACCTTAAGCCCATTAACTTCGCCTTCTCACCATCCAACCCTAGCTCTGCTCACATCAGATTACAGCCTTTGAATGCCTCGAGTCGTCAATAGGCGACTTGTGTGCAAAAAAGAGACATCTAGCGCTCTTTCATGCTTGCGACTCACTTCTGTGGAGAGAGGTGGTGTGGGTGGGCGATTCTTACGAGTTCTCAAGGCTGATGATGCCATTGTCTCCCTCCCTCCCCCACCCTCTTCTTTTTATGCCATACACAGACGCATACTCGCAGAAACAATATTATCTGATGTCAAAATGGGCTCGGTTGGTGGGGCGGGGGGAGGGGGGAGGTGGCGGTGGCTAGGGACAAATTCAAGATTGTATCTCCCCTACGCAGAAGAGCAGCGAGATTGTTCAATCCACTCCACCACCGCACACACGCCTCCAGGTCGTTTTCTGTGCGTGTGTGCGGGGAAGATGGCGGGTCTTCGAAAGATTACTTGGAGGGGGGAGGGTGGAAGAGCGAACGGTGGTTGGACGGTGCGGAGTTGAATTGTTGCGAATTGTCCAATTATTTGCCTCTAACAGAGCCACGCACTCACATACGACTTCTTTTTCTAGGTGACAGCTCTGGTCTTGCTCGTGGTTTCGATAAATGATCAACATTGCAGTACGCGAATGTCAACTGAACACTACAAGTGCCTAGTTCCCTTCTAGATCCCTAATGGCGAGCATTTCCAAAATCGACGCACGAAGACACATCTCCGGGTTTCTAGTGATCATAGCTGCTTTCCTTAAAATTGCACAACGACTGAGAACTGTCGGCTGACTCATTCAGCACCAAACCTTCCAGTTCATGGACCCTGTTCATTTGTGGCTCCACGTGGTCCTTTGATGTGGCGTCCACTGTCTTCTAAAGGCGCATTCAACCAGACCACACAAGCACAAGGCATCGAGAGTTATCATGGAACATCAGCTGTGAGAGGCGAACCGCTTCCTATGCCTCGAAATCATCTGAAGCTCGCGTCTTCCGGTTCCACAGTGTTTGTGCTTGGTTTATTTAACTAGTCAGTCCATTGCCGTGGCAACGGCAGTGGGATCTCGTTTCACCCTCTTGTTCAGCTTAAACAAAACACCCTCATCGTAGTTCAGAGCCGTGTGCTCGAACCCAGATACTAAACCCCCTCCATAGGACTTGATTCCAGCTGTTTAGTAATTCAGCGGATCGGTAGCACGTGCTTCTGATTGACTCCCTCACGAAAGTTACAATGGCTGAAACATCAACAGGCTTACGCCTCCCTATAACCAGGAGGCAGATCTCAGGTCAAAGTGGGCTAAGTAAATAGAACGCATTTTGATTCGGCATTACGAGAGGCTGCAATATGCTATAATCAGTCATTAAGGTGGCATGCACGTAAAATACGCCACATAGTCTAGTACGAAATAACTGATAGATACCAACCAAAATGTGCCTGTATGCTTACAATTTTGTAAAAAGCGCAATCACTTCGGTTACTAATTTTAAAATTGGCATTTTCCGATTCCTTGCCACTGTCGATTTCAACCCCGCCACAACTACGAGTTTTGTTAAATAACCTTGGAATCGTCTACTTATCCTGCGTCCTTAAGAGGGTACTAAAGAGTCCACTACAGTGGCATTAACATAAACCGGACGACAGTAGCAACTCACAGTCGTTGCCTCCTATCGATCACTCATCCCCCTAAAACCACGAGTCAGCGAGATGCTAATGTATCATTTTGAATAAATTCACTTTAGTGTCGAACAAGGGCTAGGCATTAGGGCCTGTAACACGCAGGCACCCACGTAGTCATGCGAGCCGCTGTTATTCAAAGGAATATACAACCGGATGCGTGACTTAGTTTTTACAGATTTTCACTTCAAACTCAAAATTATGATTAAAATAGACAAAGGTTTGCGGTTTTTTGAGGTTTTAAAGGGATGCGACACAAGGCTTCACAACACCGATCGACAAGTCTACATGAGTTATAAATCACTTCAGCATACTAGAGTTTACGACGACGGCAACTGAGAATCAGCACATTCAGTGGCACTACATTTTATACCATTTGCAACAAGGCATTCGTGTTGCTTCCAAAGCACGGTGGGGGGAATCAATTTGCAGTGTTCTTGGTGCCGACGTTGTGTGCCTTATGAAACGTGCAACTATTGGTTCGAACGTCTTGGAAGTGACGACTTCGATCGTAGTGACAAGCCGCGCCCACCACAACAGCCTCGACATTTTGAAGACGCGAAATTGCAAGCTCACCAGCATGAAGACTCAACGCAAACGCAACAAGAGCTTGCATCAGCTCAGTTAGGACTCACTCAAACACCCATTTCCAAGCGCATGCACCATCAAATGGCAACAATTCAAACACATGCAAGGTGGAACCCATGTGTGTTGATCACACACAACCACGGTCAACGTGTGAACACATGCCTTTCACTGCTTGCCCACCGACAACAGCAGCAGCAG